CGATACTTTCTCTAATTAACTGCAAACATATTAATTAAACCCACATTGATCCTCGTTCACACACACACACACACACACACACACATGTATAGAGTAATAAAATGACTTTGCGGGGAGTAGTATCTATCGATTGATCGGGCCAATCATACATCAGTTTAAGAAAACAATATACTATATAGTTAACATCTACATGTAGAAAAAAAATATATATATATATGCCTCAATTAAGAAAGAAGAATATTGTAATAATTGTATTTAATTTGTTAGGTAGTTGTACGTGCCAGATAAGTATATGGCAACCACACTTGTAATTAATGAATTAAACATCATTGATTAAAAATTTAACCCCCGGCCACCTCCCCCAATTAGCCAATAATACCTTAAAAAACCCATTAAAACTGGAATGAAACCATCTTAATATGTGTTATATATGTGGGATTTGAATGCTGTCTTTTTGGGGTCGCAATCTGTGTCTAATCTTTAAAGACAAAGCTCCGGGAGAAAGGGGATTATTGAACTTAGCTGCTGGATTAAGATTATAATAATTTTGATTAGTCTATATTATTTTATATATAAATAATTATATATCTCTCCCCGGGTCAAAATATTTGTATAATTAATGAGATCAACAGACAAGAGAAAACGGAAAAGATTTGTTCTTTCATCATCATCACCAATTTAATATAATATAATATAATATAATATAATATAATATAATTATAATGGCGCCCACTGCTGAACCTGTCTTAACTGCTATATATAAATCATTGATTAGTATATTTTACTACCCGATCTCAAGGCTAATACATTAACAACAACCCTGGTTTGGTTTTACTACATTTCTTAGCAGCAACCAGCAAACATGCATGTTGGTAATTAATTATTAATTAATCTTTTTCTTTGATTTAACTATATATTCAACTAGTGTAGTTATTTGCTAATATGAAATAAGAGGATTAATCTTGATTCTTCTTCTCTGTTAAATTACATCTTTATCCCATAAGTTTGGACTTTGAAATCTTTCTGGTTTCCAACTAATTAATTATTAATCCAATATATATAATTCGTACGTGGCCATTGTTATTAATTTAAAACAAAATCTGTTTTATATATGTTATGTTATGCTAATCCATGTAGATTGTCCATAATGAATTCCAGTATCTGTGCACCACGTGGCTGTGTATGGACTTTAAAGAGGGATATATGTTATCAAACAAATTAATTATACATATATATGTTATGGAAGCTCAGTGATGGCAGCAGCTATTAATCATTGTAATCTTTAATGGAGTAACAACTTATAATACTTAATTATGGTCTAAATCAAGTAATAATCATTAATCATCCATAATAATGAATGAAGGAAATCACTAGCTAGCTTACTGGGAACGGACATGTATATATAAACTGATCATATGATCAAACCAAGCATTAATTTTGAATAATACTGTAATTCTTTTACATTGATTATATATATACATATATGTATATAAGTCGATCGAGTAATTCTGCCTTGCTTCTAAATTGTTAACACCAGCAAACACAGATCGAAAACTTACAACAACAGTTTCACATAAAGTAAGACAGACCCACCCACAACCATACTTCTTTTTTTTTTCTAGACATATATATATATATATATAAGAGATCGATATGATTAGCGCAATTTCTTTTTATCTTTTTTTTTTTAATAATAAATAATAATTCCCACTAATAAGTACTGCATGCTAAGAATGAATGAGAAGCCGACGACGACGAGAAGCAACGCCTGGGTCGGACCCTGACAACCAGAGGGTTAGCCATTTCACAAGACAGCCTCAGCATCTCAGACAAGTCAACGCTTTGACCACCACCGCCCACAAATTGAAATTCATGCAAAAGGGTGGCCACCCAGAAGTTGACGGTGCTCATCCCTAATGTTTTACCAGGGCAAGACCTCCGACCCGAACCAAAAGGCGCCAGCCTCAGATCCGACCCTAAAACTGAAATGTCTGAATTTGGGCTTTGGCCCATAAACCTGTCTGGGTTGAAGGTCAATGGGTCAACCCAAACACCAGGATCCCTCATAATGGCCCACATGTTAACCATGGCTGTGGTACCAGCTGGCACGTGATACCCATCCACCGTGGAATCCCTTATCGACAAGCGGGACCACGATAGAAGTGGGCCAGGTGGGTGCAACCTTAACACTTCCTTCACCACTGCCGTTAAGTAGACCAGCTCCGTTAGATCAGACTCCGTCACCGCACGTGACCTTCCGACAACCTTGTCCAGCTCCTCGTGGACCTTGGATTGAATATCAGGGTGCAACACTAGTCTTGCCAATATCCACTCCATCAGAACTGCCACCGTGTCCGTGCCCCTAAATATCATTTCCTGAAAATATATAATTCATGAATTAAGTAATAATAAATATGTCATGCCTCCTGATATATGGATGGATGGATAGAGCTAATTAAAAAAGAAATAATTAGTTTCACTAGCTAGCAAGCAGGCGGTTGCTTTCAAGCCAAATTAAAGTGGTGATATATATAAATATATGTGTATATACTTTTGAAAATGCTGTTTCTACGGCTAATTATTTCACATGAGAAATATTCTTGCAACACTAAAAAAAGGAATCCACCTAAAAAAATATTCAACTCTTGAATTAGTAAAAGGGAGTGATGATGATGAAGTTATTAATTGAGTAATAACTAAAACTGAAATTTTTATATTTGGTTAATTATTCTTACCCAAAGAACGGCGATCATGTCTGAATCCGACAGTCTATCAGCACCCTTGAGAGACAACAAGACATCCACAAAATCAGGGTTGATCTCCCCGGCGCCGTTCGCCGCCTTGTGCTGGGCGATTATCCTTCCCACGAAACGGTTCACCCGCGGCACAATCCGGGAGCACCTGAACCGGATTTTTTGTATGTCTAAATCAGCTAAGAACGACAGGTGGTCCGACCAGTTCAGCTGCCCCAGTAAATCGTAGCCCTGTTCAACCAAATCATTCAACTCCTCGGTCTCCGGGTCCATTGAAACGACGTCGTATTTCCTTCCGAAAACAGAGCACATCATGTTGTTAAGTGAAGCGAGTTTCAGCAAATCCCTCACGCGAATATCGGCGCGTACGTTTGAGGAGAGTGCCGCCACCACCTGGTTCGCTATTTCCACGCGCTGCAGCTCCGAAGCTTTGACTTGTTTGGGGCAGAAGAGGTGCGCGGCGGCGATTTTCCGGAGCGCCGTCCAGTAAACGCCGTAGGGAGCGAATCCGATGGACCTGTTGAACATTAAGTTGTAAGCCGATTCTTTGGCCGGACGGTCGGAGAAGGTGGAGCTGTTGAGAATATCTCTGGCAACGTCAGGGTTGCACGTGACAACGGCACGTGTCTGGCCGATGCTGAAAGCCATGAGGCGTTTAGCTCGACAGGCTTCAGCGGCGGCGGCTATTTTGTGGTGGGCTAGGCCCAGCATGAGGCCCATGCTTCCAGCTATAGGGATTCCATTTGGGCCTGGAATTGGGGGAGAATCCGATGATGACGAGGGCTTACTCCAATGGTGCTTGCCCCAAGCAGGGCCGCCGGGGTGGGCCCAGAAGATTAAGTTGAGGGTCAGGCATGAAAGTAGGAAGAGAAATGCAAAAACGGCAGCGTTTAGGAGAGTGAGAGATTCCCATTTTGAAGCGAGAGCCAAAAGCCAGAGGCTTTCAACCTGTATTTCTGTCATTTCTTTTCAGTGCAAATATAATTGTGTGTGTGTTTTGGACGGTTGAGAAGATTAATTAGAGGATGAGTGAAATAAATATGGAAAGAATGGGTAGAAAAGGTTTGTTGGTTGGTTGGTTGGTTTTGAGAAATCAAATCCTGGTTTATGAACGTATATATAGAGGGGGAGAATTGCAGTAAATTAATGATGTTAGTGAAAAACTGTAAAAGTGGCCGGGTATCGTATTTACTTATTGTTGGGAATTAATTCTTTTTGATCAGTCTTGATTATCAGATAATTTAAAATTATATATGGCTACTTGTGCCATATATATAATCTTCTATACATAGTATATACTATAAATAGTACCACACCCTCCTCTTGTTACTTGTTTCACAATTTAATGCTTTAAACAATATAATTAATCAAATTCAAATTTAATTTGCTGATCTCATTTCTCAAACTCCTCCGCGAACCTTCTTGTTTCAGACTATACACGTAGCCCGGCCCTGTTTTCTTACTATATATCACAGAGAGTTCATTATATTGTCAATAAGAAGTTGAAAATAAAATAAGACTATAACTCACAGACAACTGGTCATCATTTGAAATAAAATGTTTGAATGACCACATAATGTCTAATGAAGCCTTGCTGCACTACTACGTGAATTTAATTTTTGGGGTCAAATTAAACTTTTGTAATTAATTAAAACCAACATCATCGATCGGTAATTCATTTCTCTATGTGTCCAGACAGTCCACATGTAACGACCATTAACCATATTTAACAATCCTTGTTGTAATCAAATAACTATTCATTTGCTCTAAATTAATGAATTAAATTTGAGACTGGTCATTATATAACAAAAAATAGTTGTAAATGGCATGATACAGTCATATGGGGGATTAGTCAATGACAAGTGGTGCTATAATTATATATAGCTTAATCCAAGTATAATAAATACATATATATAGTATGATAATTAATTAAAAAAATAATATATAATATGATGGTAATGAATTGGCAATCATGTTAGTATTAAAAGTGAGTAGGGACTTGTGAAGTCATCCCTTGTACATGGTCTTTGATGTGTACAATTTATAAATATATGGTAGCTAATTACGTTGAGGTTGAGATAATATTACATAAAAGATAAAAAGAAAATTAAGAAAAGGTGTGATTAGAAGTTTAGTGGGAATGGTGATCGAGGATCGGAGCGCCGCCACCCTAGCTCTCATGCGAAATTAGAATTAAACAATATTTAGGGCATATATATTATTATATATATATATAGGCCATCATCCAATGGTAGCCAATAGCGTGCTGCTTCAATTTCTCTATTTTCATAATGGGATTAATTAAACATTAATAAGTAATTAGGAGTACTACTAGTAATTAATATTGTTGTCGGGTCGAGATTACTGGAATTTATATTTTGGACCGTGTCGGCACTGTTTGTCATTAGCAAATAGCAATACCCAACCTTTCCGACTAATAACACCTTTTTGTTCCCTGGCGTACTTGCATTTTTTTATTATTTTGAAATCAAGTAGCCCCTTTAAATAATAACAAACTTCGCATTCTCCTAATTAATATATATACTTTTCATTTGAATGATAAAATAACTAATTGATATATATATTGTCTCCAAAAGAAATTTCTTGGCAATAATAGAATATTTACAAGATTAATCCATTCTAATTAGTTTTATAATGTCCAAAGACAGTGGAAATATTTTATATATATTAATTATTTTTTTATTTTCCTTAAGGGTGGAAACTAGATGGAAGATTCTGTTTATGTGCTTGTTAGTTGTATATATATACCAAGGTAGTCATTGTCTATCAATTTTTACAATGGAATGCGAATTGATAAATAGCTTTGGACAAACAAAACAAATTTAAAAAAAACTAATAATAATATATTAATAGGATCAAATTAAATTATTGTAGCCCGGGACATATAATAATATAATTAATTGAAAATGAATAATGATATATATTTAGAGCTAGGGTTGGGGATATATGATGCATATATAATTTGATAAAATGATGGATGGGATATGTAAAATCAAATAGAGTGAGTGAGTGAGTGGACAGGACGAATATAAGTCATGTGGCGTGAGGCTGTCGGGTTCACATACATGACGCCCATGCATTCATTCATGCAATATTACAATACAAATACCCGACCCGTTTAATTGTTCGAGTATGGGGCTGTACGTGGATCAATTAATACAAAATAATATATATAATCCGGATTGTGACCCGTCGTCTTTGTTAGGGTGCCACGCGGCTAGCTATATATTATGATTTATTATCCCATCCCTAAACCACACACGCGTCCCTCCCTGCCTTACACATGCTACCTAGTAAGAATATTATTGCTGCCCTATTTTTTTTTTTCTTTTTTTTTTATACGTAAAAATGTAAATATATTAATGCAAAATGAAAACAGTGCAAAACTATGGGTGGCATTTACCCCATTACAAAATAAAAGAAAATTCAGTAAAATATTAGTTGGACTATGGAATATTCTTTTTTTGATTTTTTGATTTTTATTTTATTTTAAGTAGTTATGTTTAATTAGTCTCTGCAGAATAGTTGATTCAGTTGCTAAGAATAATATTTATTATTTATTGGGATATTTAACTCTCTAATGGAGTAGTTTATTTGACCTCGACCCCTCATCATCATTAGTGATGAAAATAAAGAGTCAGTTTCTTGGAAATTTAGTAAATTAGGAAAACGGACAAATTATAGTTTGGCGGCTATGATTATGCCCAAGACCCAGGAATGATTCCCTGACCGTCGATGTATGGTATGCTATGCTTTGATGTTGGCCATCCCAGTTGTTATGAAACAGACAAATATTAGAATATTAATAATCCTTCCATTTTAACATAGTAATTAACGACCACAACCTGACTAGACTCTCATTTTAATAAAGTCATCAGAATCTTATAATTTCTTCTCTATTTTTTCCCCTCTTTTGTTAGTACTAGTATATTTATTGCATTATCGCATATTTTTTTATTGTAACGAATTCATGAAACAGTAACAAATTATTTTGACGAACCGCAATTTTCTTCCGTATCACAATCAAACAAAAGAAATATTATCTGTGGACGGAGTTGGGGAGTGATGATGATTGTGATATGTTGTAATATATTTTTATTTATTCTTCAGATGATATGTTGTAATTAATAGTGGCGTATTAATATTACTGCTTGAGGATCTAAGAGATTTGAAATTATAATGATGTAAGTTAATTAATGTGAAAGAATATAATTTGACCACTATTGAGATGAGGCTCTGACATCACAAATGTTTTTTCAGATAAATTTTTTTATCTATATAATAAGTTTCTGGGGTATATATATGCAAAGATGGGAATTAACAAGTGGCAGAAAATCACCTTTTTTTTTTTGGCTTAGATTTGATACCTTTCTTAGTCATGTAAATCTAATGATGTAATAATGTGGGCATTTGTTGAAACATCAGCGGCTTAATTGGCTTCATTATTAATTAATCTTTGTTAATATAGCTAGAACCATTCATCATCCACCTGGCTTGCTACACTTTGATCGATAAAATGTAATTAAAACTTGTGGATCAAGATCGATAAAATTTACAGTTTCTTACTAATATGATGATGTATTACGTACATGCATGTTGTATAACCTGAAATTCAATTGAGGCCCCAATCTTGCATTTGGCAGATAATTAAGCAAGAGATAAGAGTGAATTAATTCAAAAAAAAAAAAAAAACATTTATAAAGTATCAAGTGGCATAATAAGTAAGTTCCGTGGAATCCGTACAATGAAAAACTATTCGACCCCATGATCATGACATGCTTAAGGTAGGGTACTAATTGCATATATGAAAAAGCAAGCTTAGCTTTCTGTTTCTGGTCCACATACAGTTTTAGTTGCATTATTTTGACACCGATATTTTGAATAAACTTGTTTAACTTTAGACATTAATGATGATGATGATGATGATGATGATGATGGATCGTAATCATACATCAACTAATTAGCTAGCTAGCTAGTGGCCTTAATTAAAATCTTGAGCCTCACCTTCATATCCAATTATTTCCAAATCATATATGTTTACAATTCCACCAAAAGTTACTTATTGTAACCTGCATATCCTATTATTGTTTTTTTTGGGAAGCATGGCCAAAAGAGAATTAGTTAGTTAATTGGATTACCTTAATCTTTATATCTCGTCAGTTCCAATTGAACATATAATATTTCCAAGTGGTCAAGTTGTCACCTAACCCACTTGTTGTAATTAATACAAAATATATAAATAGCTAGGTAAATAAAAACCAAATATATATATATATGATTGGATTCGGATGCCATAATCAGAAAAAAATCTCTTTATGGCTGATTTTATGGGTTGGAGTGGGGAAGGTGTAAAGATTCTTGACTTGAAAATGTAATATAATTTTTCTCTTTTTCAAAGTTTGAATCTTTGAAGAAGAAGAAGAATATGTTCTGGTTCGTGTGCCGTGGTCCTGTGCAAACTGGATGGGTTCTTCTTTTATTTGGGCATGCTGCATTAATGCTTATTGGATGGCATTACTTACTTTATTTTCCACTTATTATTTCTTTGACTAAAATATATACTACCTACTCTCTACTACTTATTTTAATCATTTTAGGAGGCTTCAAATGAAACTACATTAATTAATTTGGCTCACCTTCAACCCTATGCATATATCCATCTTTCCTAATTAGGACTGAGTTTTAGATCGATTACAAAATCTCCAAACATATTAATCCCTTTTTTTTTTTTATGTGGTAAAATATTATGTGCTACTGCCTAAACCATCAACACATTTTAAGTCAAATTATTAATTACTGCCACACTTGTTGATATATATTTTGACATATCGTTATATCTTACTTCACTTTCAATATTTTTTAGGTAAGGTGGAAAATCAATTCCACTAAAGGCTACTTCGACTTATATTCTTGTTAATTAATATTGTAATTGGGAAGATCGATCAATATATGGAGAGGCAAATAAAGAAAGTATGACTTCATATTCCCTGTGGAAAAAAGAAGAAGAAGAAGTGACTTTGGAGTAAATCACACAGAAAGTAAGATTAGCAAAAGCATTAATATCTATGACTTCATATTCCCGTTGCCGAAAAGAGATTTTATTCCACCTCTTATTCCAATTATAATTAATCATAAATTATAATTATATCTTAATTTATTTCCAATCTACCACTTACTATTTCATGTATCACATTCTAATTTGCTTCAAACCCATAATTTTTAAGTTATTAGCCGCACCTTTTTAATTTCTACTATATTCTTTTTAATTTAAAGAGATTTTCTTTTCTTTTTTTCCGAGAGAAATGTCTACTATACTCTTAACAGTTGTACAACAGTAGAAATTAAACATCATTGAAACGTTGCTTTAATTTGTTGTGTGTGTAAATTTCAAAAGATGTTACAAAAATGAAACTTGCATACTTAATGAAAAATTTTAAATAATTTTTTTTTTTACAGATGCTAGCTGCTAAGATTTTCAATTGTCAATAATTTATAAACTAATTGACTCAAGCAAGGTCAACTTAATTAGTAACCCTATTTAAATCGTAGTTAGTTAGAACGTTGTGTTTCATTTTCATAGCATCTTCCTTAAGTATTGTTCAAATATATTAAGGGTGAAAACGAATGAATGGTTTCTATATTTACACAATTTAGGTTTTAATAATTTTGAGTCATAATCTTTGTTATAATATTATTATGTTACTTTAATTTCATAATCCAAACAAAGCCCAAGCCAAGTTTATCATTTACTGGGCTTGAATTAAGATCCATTCGAAAAGGCCCAAACCACCTTTTAGAATTATTGAGCCCAACCCAAGTGGAGAAACCCTAATTCCAGATATAAAGAAAGAAAAACTCCCTAAAAAACTAGAATTAGCGGCTATCTCCGATTGAATCAAGTGAAAATGCAGATCTTCGTGAAAACCCTAACCGGGAAAACGATAACGCTCGAGGTCGAATCGAGCGACACTATTGACAATGTCAAGGCTAAAATTCAAGACAAGGAAGGTGTGCTTTTTGTTTTTGTTTTTTATTTTCTTTCCAATTTTTGATTGAGTTTCGATTTAATTTGGTGTATTTATTGATGCGGTTATAATAGGGATTCCACCGGATCAGCAGCGTCTGATTTTTGCTGGGAAGCAGCTTGAAGATGGCCGGACACTCGCAGATTACAATATTCAGAAAGGTGACCGACCACTTTTTTTTTTTTTTTTTTTTTTTTTTATTAATAGACAAATATTTAGGTTGGATGTTTTTCGATGGTCAATTATGTAGAGTCGACATTGCATCTGGTTTTGAGGCTTCGTGGAGGGATTATCGAGCCTTCTTTGATGGCTTTGGCTAGGAAGTACAACCAAGATAAGACCATCTGCCGCAAGTATGTCAATAATTTCTTCTTGTACATATTCATTACTCTCACTAGATAAGTTTTGATCTTAAACTAGCAATTAGAGTTCAAATCCATAATTACTTAATCTGTATGATCTGTGCTATGAAATGTTATTGACTTGTGAGAATTAGTTAAAACTGTGTTTGTACTATTATTTCATTTTGTTTGCTTTTTCTTTTTAGATCATCTTTTATTTTGCTTCTTTGACCTCAAGTTCGAGAGTAGCAAAATTCTCATATGTTAATTTAGATAGTGTAAAAAACAAGTTTAGACAGATTCTATGATGGAGTCTTGTGTAGAATAATACCTTGTGGTCTTTATCTGAATGGATTGGTTTTAGGAACCAAAGATGAGCAATCCCAATCTTCAGTACATAATTTAGAGATTTTCTTATGTGCATTCAAAATCTTTAAATTCAATTAATAGTAAGATAGATTGGTTAGATTTGGATTCAGAAAGCTGACTTCACTTCCCTTTCAGTAGTAATGTTTAATTCTTACACGTATTACACGAAACATAAAAACATGTAACATTTTAACTTAGAATTGACAATGTGGGGTCAATGGTATATTTTCTAGATGACTGATAAGAGTTTATCTTAGATGTTTTGAATTCAAATCTGTTGATATGAGTTATGAAATCAAATCTATTGGTACGTGCTGTGAATGATATTGAGGTCCGTACACTTGGATATGCTGCTTAAAAGCTTTATTACAAATTATTTCAGATGTTATGCACGCCTGCATCCACGTGCTGTCAACTGTAGAAAGAAGAAATGTGGCCACAGCAACCAGGTAAATTCTCTTCTGACATTGTCTTTGACTGGAGTTGTGAAATAGCTGTGATTATGGATTGATACGGAATTAACGCTTTCGCACTCTATTTGATTTTTCATTTGCAGTTGAGGCCAAAGAAGAAGATCAAGTAGACATTTTATATTACGTTTTTCAAGTTGAGAAATTTTGCTTGTAGAAGCCTCGATGAAAAAAATTCCTCCCCATTTTCTACTTATTGCATTGGCCTATAATGGTATATGGACCAATTATTGTGTTTTTATTGGTAATGCCAGAATGTCTTCCGGATTTTTATGATTTTGAAATATGTGCGTTATTTTTAGTGATTTCATTGTTATGTGTATGAATTGTTTCTAGTCTTGTTGGTGATGCTCTCTGGTTATTGTTGAAACAGAATGCTTTAATGTGCCTGTTCGAATTAGGATGTCTGAATTCCAGGATTGTCAAGTCAGTTATATTCTTTAACCAAGTGAAAATTTGTAGAGTGGACATGTGATTGATCTACCCAAGTTCCAGCTCTAATCTTTGTTGGTTGTCTAATGTAGTAATCTCTGTGATGGGCAGTGGGTGTGTATGTATTGCCACAATTGCCATAGGAGATGAGCTTATTTTATGGGAACTAAAGTAATAGTAAAAAAGAAAAGAGATGAAGATAGTTATTGGCAGCTGAAATACTCTTATAAAGGTATAGTTGGAAGTGGGTTTAATCTCCAAGTAGACTAGAAAAACAGAAACATGATCTGGTTACTACTACACACTTGTTGGTGACATCATTAAATGACTGTTTGATCTGCATCTGCGTAATTTTGATCATTATGAAAATGAAGTATCAGACCAACTGATAGAAGCTTATTTATTAATAATAAATAAAACAAAGTAGACCCAAATCTCTCAATCCCACCACTGATAATTGTCTGTATTAATATTGTTGCTAGTGTTGGGATATATAATGAGATCATCAGAATCAAGACAGCTGCTTGTTCCCCAATCCCTTGAGATTCCGTCTTCTTCTTCGTGTAATAATCTGATTCTCCATCACCGGTACTAGCACATATCTTTGTGCCACCAGCTGCTGTTTCTTCTTCAGACTTTATAATTTCACTTTTCAGTTTCTGCAACTGACAAAGCATACATATCTTTCAATAATCATCATCTTTTATTAATGGATTCAAAGTGGGAAGATAGATTGTTGTAATTAGACAAGAGAAGGGTGTAATCTACTTTTGTGTACGATTCGAACATCACTTCCAACCTTTCTATTTGTTCGTCGCTGAATCTTCTCATCTTCTCTTTCTTCCTCATCCTCACCATCTTCTTCTTTCTCTCCTTTCACTCACTATTTTCTATCACCACCTTTTTCTACACTACCTACATTTCTCAACTTTACTTTTTTCGTTGTTTATGTATATACAATATTGCTTTCTTTCTTTCTTTCTTTCTTTCTTGTATATTATTATTATTATTATTCATTTACGGATTGAAGTATTCTCTTCTTCCAATATTTATTGTTTTGTATTTTAATTTAAAATCATACAATGTATATTTTATTTGAATCCCAATTAAAAAAGTGTAACGTATGAATTCGGCGACTGCAATGACTTTGGAGGGGTCTTAGTTTTAATGCTGTCATCTACTAGTAATTAATAATAGAGATAAGGCCTGTGTGTATATATAAATTAATCTGAGTGATTGGATGCTTTGGATTTTGGAGTAAATTAAAATAAAATAAAATGTATATAGAAATGAGATGGAAAATGAAAAGTGAAAAGAAAAGAACCTAAGGGGACAACTGATTAGTCAGGTGGTGCAACGTGGCCTAAATTTACGTCGTGTTTTAGGGACAGTGACGTGGCGTGAAACTCGTGGTGCACTGAGTAAAATTTTTTAAAAATGTTTTTTTGGCAAGAAAAAACGATGAGTAGTTCTGGGAAATGGGTGATGCATGATGATACCTACTAGCTATATGATTTAATAATTCATTTGCGTAACGTTCCATTTTTCTTTAGCTTAGCTTATATATGTAAATGTAATATATAATCAATTATGAACATTCTCATCTATCCCTTTCTTGTTGACAAATTAATTGGTCCTTTTAATTTGGCAAATGAAACTTTGAGCTGAAATTAGGCCAACCAAAATCTCAATTATTCTATGCCTTTTATTTTGTTTAATTATCATGGATATTTTATTTTGACGTACGTAATTAATTTGTGAAAAATTTGAATCCGTTGACAGAATTGACATAATACGTACGTGTCAGTCGTCATAAATCATAATAATCGATCAACACTACGTCCACAAATAATTAATAGTACTAACGTTTAATCACATCATCAAACATATCATCAACAAAATTTCTTTATTTTATATATATGTATACACAGAAAGAGGGAGAGGGAGGGAGAGAGAGAGGATTTGACATTTACGTGTATTAATGATAATAATAATGGTATGACTTTGGGAGGCCCCCCTCCCCCAGTCACAGTAGTACTACTGCTGGTGCTAGCTAGCTAATTGTTTTCTTTTTCGTCCTGCTAATTTTTAATTTAATTGACATGTACACCACATTGATGAATGAATGAATGCACAAATTTCAATGTGAGTTTATATATTACGTACGCGTTGATAATGCCAGCCACCACTGTCGTCGTCTTGTCCGATCAACTCCCCCCCTTGTCGATCAATACTGCATATATATATATATCTTGTGTACTCACACACACACACACCCACGTGGGTATATAGGTGTGTACATATATATTACGGTTATGTGTGTGTGTTCACCACATAAATCATATATAATATATATTATCTTCAGATAGGGAATCAAAAGGTGGATCCATATCATATATGCATGCATGGTGGCCGGTGTTCAACGCATATATACACCAGCTAGCTACCCTCACTTTTCTTACCTACATAGTACATATAATTTAAATGAGTGGTACTAAATTAAACTCATTTTTTTTTTTGATTGCTTAATAATGTGTTGTGAATTGTGATATAACAGGAATAGGGTTAGCATTAAGTTATATGCGATTAAATTTAATGGTAGCCGCAGTTGGATGTTTGAATAACCAAACAAATTTGTGTAATTGGGTTTTCATTACTTCAATTTCAATTTCAATTTCAATTGCTCTCATCCGTAAAATTTAGTATGGAGTAGTTTGCAGTGGTGGTTGACAATTTTGGAAAAGGTAATTCGTGAAAAGATCGACAGTAGAAATTTAGAGTGCAATTAATTATATGAATTATATATTCATATACGTGTGTGTCGGTGGCCCTCTTGTATTCTTCGCCGTTGCCTAAGAGACGCGTCAAACGAGGGGCCTCTCTACGGACTATTTTTATTTTATTTTGCTACAATACATAAATAATAAAATTCAAATTGAAAGACTATATTTAATTCATTTATTTATTAGGCAAAATGAGTTTTTTTAGTCACGTAAGTTTGCTAGTTGAGAGTTTTAGTCCATCATATTTAAAAATCAGATTTTTAGTCCTGTAATTTACAAAAGTTGAGAATTTTGGTCCTATGACCTTCTATAACAGGTAATGTGATGGTTTGTTGAATGAATTGACATTTAAAATATAAAAATAAATACATTAAAAATAAACTATGTGATGTGACTAATGAGTTGGATGGTTTTGGAGAAAAAAATGATCCTCAATGTCAAATTCACCAAAATAATAAGGAAATTTTAACATATTAAACATTAATTTATATATTTAATTTTTTTTTTATATTTGCAATAAAGAACCACAATAAACCCATTGAATAAAATCCACAACTATATTTTTTATGAAGGAAATAAGACTAACTAATGTTTAAATAATCATTCTTAGTTCTTATTTGATATAAATAGTAATTAAATTTATATTTATCTAAATATTTCATTTTTTTACAAATCTATACTTTGTGATTACAATGGAATTGAACCAACAATTAAATTCAACATAAAACTAAAAAAGACCTTTTAGTAAATTTTGTTGTAAAGTTAAATGACATGCACAATCATAATTAGAATAAGAAATCAAATACACATTTACGAATTAACCAAAAAAATAATAAAATATATTCAAAACTCTATTAAATTAAATGTATCAAAAAAATATTCTAGAGCCTCCAAACATAAAGTACATTATCAAACCAAGAGTAACAAATATCCATAACGAGTGATAAAATATAGTTAATTACTATTTTTATCAATTGAAGACTATGAAATAATAATTAAAAATAGTTACTACAAAAATGCTTATTTCTTTCATTAAATAAAAAAAAAAAATTGATGGTATATTTTATTTCTCTCCAAAATTGTCCAACTCATTAGCCAAATCACCTAATTTATTTTTATATTTTAAATGGCAACTCAGTCAATCAACCATCAGATTACCTGTTATCGCAGGTCATAGGACCAAAATTCTCAACTTTTGTAACTTACAGTACTAAAATTCTGATTTTGAAATATGGTGGACTAAAACTCTCAACGGCAAACTTACAGAACTAACAAAATCATTTGCCTATTTATTATTAATAAGAGAAAAAAAAATTAATAATAATAATAAAAAAAAGGAATTATATATATATATATATATATATATATATATATATATATATATATATATATATATATATATATATATATATATATATATATATATATATATATATATATATATATATATATATATGGAGCGTGTTTTCCATTAATTAATAAATATCGGTGGGGCAGCTAAATAACTCAACCACTCCTCTGACGCAACTCGTATGGCCTCTTTCAACATTTTTCTGATACCCCCAGCCAGCAGTACTGCCCACTTTTCTTTTCTTCAATTTTTTTTTCAAAATTATATTTAAAAATAATAATAAAAAAAAAAAGAATTGTTCCACACATACATAAATACATGATTACCCACTCATTATCTACTTCTCAATTATCATTATCATCATCATCATCATCTAACTATGTACATAAATAATTACTGTTGTAGTAGTAGTAGTAGATGGTACCTAGTTTAGGGTTGATGATTAATTAGATGATGACGATGATGATGATGATGATAATTAGGGCCTAAGTACTTGTGAATCATATCATCATCATTAGGGGCGAGGCGACAATATGAATCTCTTTGATGATGACTTTTAAATTTGTGTCGAGTACGTAGTACTAATTAATTAATTTCATGATTTGCTCACACACACACCATATATTTAATTTAGCTCCTTCCTTCAATTCGTTTCGTTGGTAAAAATGTAATAAGAGGTCATAAAGAATGCCATTATATATATTGCCACCACATAATACTACTATATGTATGCATACATTTGCGTATAGATCAATTAGACACTCAAAAATACACACACTTGGGACTTGGGGGAGGAGTGTGTGTGTGTGTGTATATATATATATATTAGTGTAAATATGTGTGCATGGGGGTTGGTGGCCATTTCTGGAAATTACAGCTGGTAGGGTCGTCAGTGTTTTGTCCTTTTTACTTTGTATTATATTTCACCATTATTTTTATATGCCTATTATATCCCTCTCCGCCCCTCTCTAACAACTCACAATTCTTTATCTTCAACAATAATATATACATACATACATACACTTCTCTCTCTCTCAGTCTCCCTTGAAATAAGGCGAAAGTTTTGGGGGATAAAGGAGGGTATGAGAGGCCAGCAGAAACCGAGGGGGACTCACTTATTATACATACATACATACACACACACACTATATGTATGTATAAATATTGGATGAGAGTTATATATATATATATATATATATATATATGTATATATATGGAGAAAATGAAGATCAAATTATTAAGTATGGAAAAAATGGGGGAGCATATTTTTTTGAGGGGAATGTTGTCCGGCTCGAGGACCGACTGTTGATATATTAATATTGATCTTATATATGTTTTTTTCTTTTTCTTTTTTTTGGTGTGGTTGAAGAAATTAAGAAATGTATAGATCTAATTAATATTATTGATGATGATGATAATACTCGTCGTCGTCGTCGTCGTCGGACCAGGCTTCATTCCCCCCAATTTCTGCTCCTCTCCATTCATGCTCGAGATTTAGATCATCACTTTCTTCCTCATCTATAATTCTACTTCCCCTATGTCTAATTATAATGTGTGTATATATTTATTCTATTCTCTACAGAATTTCTTCAGCCCACAATTCATATATATCTACATATTTTTTTTTTCAGTTTGATTGGTGTAATGATTAACAAGGGATCTTGACTTTTTTTCATGATTGCAACCCTTTTCATTTCTGTTTTTTTTCTTGCAGGTTATGATGGTGTTTCGTGTCAGGTGATTCCCTTTTTTCCCCTTTTTTTAATTTTTAATTTTTAATCCTTGGATACAAGTTTTCTTTTGGGGTAATTATGATGTCCTTTTAGTATCAAATACGTATATATATTCATGAGATCCTTTTACGGGGATTTTCAAGTTTTGCAACTTCATATCCTTGTTTTTTTTCAATACTCTAAACCCCCAACCTAGTGACTGATGATATATCTATGTTGCCAAGATCTGGGTTTTTTTCTTTTTACTATCATATATCATATATATTGATATTGATATTGATATATACAAGTATGCATGGTGGATTGGCACATTCAATCAATTGAATATGAATCCATGATTAATGTTAAATTGAAGGTCTTACGCTTGCTTGCTTCCAACTATTCTTTTATATATATGTTCTCTACTTGCGATAGCTTCATTCTAGTTAGCTAGTTTGATTTTGTGTAAACCCTAACATTTTCAGCCAAATTAAACTACAACTTATTAGTCATCCCCCGTTGACGTTTATGTTCATTGAAATGCATCACTACCATTGTTAAGTACAGGGAGATCGATTGCTAATTAATCATTGGAGTTGGCCCTGCGCGCTGAACGTACAAATATATATATTCCTCTAGTAGATAGATCAATTTTTCGTGATTGAAAATGATTGTTGAAAAGAGCAGTTCGTATTGACAACAAAGTAAAGAGCTACTCCTCAGTCACCAGTAACAAGATGGATGATACTATTATACATGATCAATTTGGGGCTGATGATCTGTATGTTGATGGAGATTTGTTCCTGCAACTTCCGTCTGTCTGTCTGTATGTTGATGGAGGAGGAAGCTCATCAAATTAAACTATGCATATTCATCAACAAATGAACTTTGTTTTTACACTTATTTTAATTTCACCCATCATATACCATGTAGCTAGTAGGCTGCAATTAATTCATGAATCACATTTATTTATCTATTTATGTTAATTTGCACTAGTTTTCTTAGAGTTCTTCATTCATAGGATTTCAAACTTAAAACAGATTAGTGGAATCTCAATTTCATAAACACCTATTTATTATTTGTTAAGCATGCATGTAGCAATCCAACCACATGAATCCCACTATACATCTTTCATAAATATATACATTAAGATTCCATTATCATCTACATAAATTCATGACATATATTTATCTATAGATTTTCAATCAGACGACGTTGAATGTGAAACAACAAAACCGGTGGATATATATGTAACAATGTTTGAGTCGACTCAGAATAATACTACATTTGTACATCAATTTTCTTTCCCTCAATCCTCTCTCTCTCTCTTTCTCTCTCTATAGGGAAAAGGTTCCTCCAAAATGTATATCAATTTTTAAATCTCTATCACCGACTCATCCATCAAATGCATATTTAGCTCTGAATTAATTTTTGTTTTTAAAAAAAAAGAAGGGCTAGTTCTGTCTCATGTTTGAGCTCCGAAGCGTCAAACCATGTAAGAATTTGGTATAGCCCAGTAAACTGAGTTTGCCATTGGTCCTCAACCAATCTCTGAGCATAGAATGAGCAGTTGTCCCCACATTCAACTCCTGCACAATAATAAACCCCGTACAACGTTATATTATCAATAATTACGATCATATTTCGGAAGGCTTTCATTTCTGAAGAGAGAGAGGGAGGGAGGGAGGGAGAGAGAGAGAGAGAGAGAGAGAGAGAGAGAGAGAGAGAGAGAGAGAGAGAGAGAGAGAGAGAGAGAGAGAGAGAGAGAGAGAGAGAGAGAGAGAGAGAGAGAGAGAGAGAGAGAGAGAGAGAGAGAGAGAGAGAGATAGATAGATACCCGAGCCAATTCCTCAACCGATATTACTCGGTTACCCTCTTGCTCAAAATGGACAAAAGCTGTGGATGCAATTTGCTCCCAATTTTCATGAGCCTCCCATTGATAAGTGCTAATTGCAGCTGCGCAGAACTCTTCAAAGTCCATTTTTCTATAAGATAATGGTGCCATCTGCGTAACACAAGAATTACCTTATTAGTGGTATGTGTCGCAGTGTAAGGGCCTTTTTTTTTCTTTCTAAAATAATTCTTAAAAGAAGTGGATGAGCTGACCGCATGTAGAATATCGGGGACCCTAGACACCTTCATAGCATCAGTAGCATTCCTCGCAAGGGCCTGCAATATCAACTTTGTATCATCCTCTAACAAAATCACATCTTTTTCACATGGCACTATCTTTTTCATTTTTCTCTATTTCGATCTCGTTAAACATAAAATGAATTGGAAAAATGGCAATTTTGTAAACTCCCGTGACATAAGTAACCAGTTTGATTTTCAAGCAACATAATACGGATAGAGTAAAGCAGTAGATGGTATAAATTTATGTGCACCAAAATCAGCAATCGCATGAACTGTATGATTCAGTTTTACCTTTCTGAAGTGCTCGAGAGAGACTCGTCCATCCTCGCTAGGTTCCAGAAGCATGAATTGAGCTCTAAGATAAACCAATTCATCCTCACTCACAGCTTTTGAAAGAGCCTACCACAATATAAGTAAATCAAATGAGTTGTTATCTGATTTCACAACTATAATAACTAATCAATTTTATGCAACTATGAACCGATAAAACTAAAGCCGATTTACAAGCAAAAATATCTCATAATGGAGGTTATGAATAATAATAAAAAAAAATAAAAAAATAAAAAAAGAAAACCGCAACTTGTACTTATTCATGAAGATTATGTGTTAACTCATACAATTTAACTTTTCCTTAAAAACTGAGATCGGGTTCTCCAAGCCATACACTCTTAGACTGAAATTGAAAGCCATTTTTTTAGAAACAGAATTGGAGTCAAGTATCAGTTAGTTGAATGTAATAATGATGTCAGCTAGGGATGACAAGGGACAGTATTTCGAGAGAATGAAAAACAGAATATGTTATCATCACATAACTTTATTGGAACTAATATATATACATATATATACTAAAGTGAGAGAAGGGAGATCGAAAGTGTAGTAGCTGACGTAGTTCAGCAAATTGAAAACCATTTATGGAATGAATTGACAATTTTAGTGGACAATAGCAGAGGCCAATATAGTAGTCAAGTACACAGTCCTTGTGAAAAAAAAAATTTGTTTCTCAAAGGACAGAGTTAAACTAGGTTCATCTGAAAAATAATTTGTAAAACAGAAATTAAAATTCCATCAAAATATGCTGAAACATAACAAAATACAACTAATTTCAACATCAATAGAATCTAGATAAAGCGACATGAGTGCAGAATACAAAGAAGAATGAAATGCAGCCAGCATAAAGACTAGTTCAATCTTATTATAAGCAAAAGAGTATATATACATGTATGTGTATATGTATATGTATGTGTATATGCATACCTTTAGTGCTGCGCGTTTGAAAGGGGTAGCATGTAGATACGACTTAACCAACTTATAGACCAGTATGTCTAATGGAATAGGATGACTCTCACTCCGCAACCATGGATGTGCTGTATTTGCAAAGATATGTTCAGTTTATTACCATCGAAAGGTCAAGAAAATGCAATTTTATGGAAGCAGGTAACTAACTCAAAGCTTGAGCAGCAGTCATTCTTTTCCGATAGTCCTTGTTTAGAAGTCGTTTAACAAAGTCTTTGGCATGCGGTGAGACAGATGGCCAAGGCATGTCCTCAAAGTTGGGGTCAGCTCTCAAAACTGCACGGAATATTCCCGACTCTGTCCTTGCCCAGAATGGTCTGCTTCCACATAGCAAAATATATGTAATAACACCAATACTCCAAATATCAGCCTCCACACTGTAAGACCTGTGCAGAACTTCTGGTGCTACGTAATATGCACTTCCAACAATATCATTTAGTCTTTCATCTGCAGAAATATTTGACATATTTGGTCATATCCACTTCATAAATTGTTAAACAAGAAATATTTGACAACGGTATGATTTCACATAGGTGGACAGCTTGAGTTTTTAAATGAACAAAGTGATTTGGAAGAAATAGCAGAATGCATCATACATCAAATTTGTAAAATTCACATAACTGGACTACACAAAGAATATATAAACAAATAGAATTTATACTGGATATTTTCAAAGAACAACAAAAGAGAATTAGTTTTAGATGCCATGCAGAAGGTATGAAAACTTCCAGTGATAAAATATTAAAATGCAAATACAGCCACTAACCTATTGAAAAGGCCATCATATGTAGTATTTAAGAAAAACTCAAGAGCCATCAAGAAAATATCAGTAAACTTTGCAATTTAGTTTCAATACTTAGGCTATAAGGGGCAAGTGATTCACTAAGAAACAGCAAAATGTAACTTGCGTGTATTTTTCAACTCTCGGCATTCCCAGTCTCAAACAAGTATGCTATTAATGATAGCACAACAGAAGCAAATCTTTGGGTTTACAATGAAATCCAGTAATGTGAAACTTTTGACTTTTTATTTTCATTTTTGTAAGAGTGAAGCTTTTGACCTGAAGCATCAGACAAAGACAGAAAGAAAAAAAAAAAGAAAAAAACATAGCTCTTAACTTTGAAATAATTACCTGGTCTGATGAAGTCAGAAAGACCAAAATCAATAAGCTTCATATCAGCATCTTCACTTCTAGAGGTGAATAGAAAATTCTGTGAATTGCAATTAGCACCAATATCAAGACAAGGAAGTTAAATTTGTCATTTAAGAGATCTAGCAAATTGGTTGGAGAATAAACTCTCTCTCTCTCTCTCTCTCTCTGTATATATATATATACCTCAGGTTTTAAGTCGCGGTGGACAACACCTTGAAGATGACAAAATGAAACAACACTAAGAATTTGAACAACAATAAGTTTTGCTTCATCTTCCATGTATCTACCACCTCTGAAATGAATAAACCACTATAAGTTTTGTTGCATCCATCAAATCGATGGATTATAATTAGAAGAAGAACAATTTTTGTTCTGCCTCTCCTCTTTAGTATAATGTAGGAAGACACTTTGGTGTAAGAGAAAAAACATCATTACTTACTTTGACAATATTTTGTCCAGCAGTTCCCCACCTTCACATAATCTGCGAGAGAAGGAACAGAGAGATAATAGCACAACCATATTTTACTCAAAATTAGCTCAAAGGCTCGTAGCACATTTTTTTCAGAAAAAAAAAAACACCTTTAGATCAACTATGTACCACAATTTTAAATCTCAAATCCTAAAGAGGAATTCAAAAGACAATGAAATACGTACTCCATTATTATGTACGCGTTATTGGCATCCTCACAAGCATCATAAAATCTAACAAGATGCTTATGGCCCGCAAGAGCTTTCAAAATTTTCACTTCTCTGCGAACATCTTCAATAGCTATCGCGGTAGACATCTGTCAACAAGAAGCTTGATCAGCTATATATCCAGTCTCATGTTATCATAATTTATATATAGATATAAGAATAAGAAAGGAAAATTGTGAATTCATCAGCAAGGAATAGATAAGAAGAAACAATTTCTGAAGTCCTATAGTTCTTTTCAGTTCATTTTTACCATACTACCCTGGGAACCTTTACTCATCACATAAACACGATACACTTTAAGTCTTGGATGATGTGACCATTATCCATAAGATTCACTGCTCTCACCGGTAAAGAAATATTGAAAGTCAAAAACCAGTCACTACCATCTCAGTAAAACAAGTAAACATTGCAGACTAATGAGCTCGACCATTTGGTGGCATACCATGGATACCACATACTCTGGTTCACACCATTCGTTCTCTATTTACTATATCAAAGATAATCAAAGAAATGTATATAGGCATTGTGTGATTCGGTGTCGTGTTGAAATTTATTTTTATGCGGATTTCAATTGAAACTATAATAAGCAAATATTTTTGAAGATTTAAGATCCACTCGAGGGCATTCAGAAACAAGTGCACATGGATGGAATCAGGATAACCATATATATTTGCTAATTTTGCTGCATACTAATGAATATGAATGCATTCCAATCTTTAATTATCCAACAATTTCTAGTTTCAGTTTCAACTCCTGAGAGATCGACGTTATGCTAATTGACAATTAAGTGCTTATACATACATTAAGGAGCAGAACCTTGAAACGTGTAGAACCTCAGGCGGTACCTAAAACCAATTGGTTTCAACACACACGAGCCATAGACGAGCATCCACCACGTGGACAAAACCAGCAATTAATACCCATTATTAACCTATCTAAATAAGAATCAAATCCAAGATGCTTCTTTCAAATTTCACTGATCATTTCTAGCACATTTATTTTCCTCTATCTGAAAGATACACAAAATCAACATATATCCATCTTACTTCAGTTAAGTTTCCCTGCCGGCTAAGCTATCAAGACTGTTCACTGGAGTGATTGGGTTATGAAAGCACTTCACTTGCAATTCAATGTGTCAGAGCCATTTGGCTAATTAAACTAAAGTCAAGTAACACGCGTTATTCTTATACAGAAACTACGAAAAAATGGTAGTCTCGGTGTAGTTGGAAGCCTCAAACACGGTAAGAGTAGTTCTCCCAACATCAAATTACTAGTTGAAAAATTAATTCCGTCAAAGCTTTCGAGATCCATCCTCTGCAAATTTGAACCCCACTCCTTAATATCTACTTAATGATGGTTTCTTATTTTATACCACATTCACACATTTGCTTCTGTTTCTAGAGTCCACCCTTTAAAAGATATACCAATTGCCAGTAAGTAATTAAAATAAGCACATACAGAATAAAAAGAAAAGGAAAGGAAAGAAGAAAACATTAGCTGTTGAGAAATGCAGAGGATAAAAAGAGAGATTTGTTTATAGAAGTAAGTAAGTAATAAAACCTTAGCTTTGGAGATGATTTTGACGGCAAGAGGCATGTCCTTAAGCTCCCCCTTTCGGCCTTTAGCATAGCAAGTATGACCAAAATGCCCTCTACCCACCTCTTTCCCAAGCTCGTACTTAGCTCCGAAGTTCTTGTTATACCCAAAATTCTTATCAAGCGCGTGATGATGATGCTGCTGCTGTTCCGCCTCTTCCTCCACTGCATCCTCCGGAATGGGACCCTCTCGAGGCGTTTTCTTCCTTTGCCCCAACTTTCTCAGAGACGCCCTAATATGCTTCGCCGGCGACGGCGGAGGAAATGGTTTCTTAAAAAATCTCCTAGGCGTCGACCTCGCCGGGGAAGGAGAAACCCCACCCGGGGTTCCACCCCCGCCACCAAAGGGATACGGACTGGGCCAAGGGCTGTTTGCGGCAGAGGATCTCGACGGGGTGTTCTTCACGTTAGAGGGCGGAATCTCAGATGAGCGATCATCCCCGTCGGAGTGAGCGGTGGTGGTGATGGTGGTGGCGGCGTAGTCATCGTTGTCTCCGGTGGGGATCGTCTTACCGTAACACTGACCCATCAGCAGAGTATGTCAACTCAATATCTCTCTCTCTCTTCCCGATTAACAGTGGTTGTATATATATATTATTTTATTTCTTAAACTTTGTTTGTCGATGTCGCTAGTGTACATACATACATGGATATATTTTGTTTAGATGTACATTTATGTAATAAAATAAAATAAAATGAAACCCAAAATTCGGGGATGTGTTACGGCAACAAAACGATATTAAAAAAAATGGAAATAGAAAAGCCAATAAGATTTTATATTATATAAATTGAAAAAAAAAAAAGGTGAAAAAGCATGTGATTAATTATTTAAGGAAATGATAAAGGATCGATTGATTAATATGGGAATGGGAAGAGACTGGGAGTGGAGGTATAAAATATATAGTAATTGATTAAATTTGAAACAAATTCTCGAGTTTTATACATTTGCATTGATGTTTGTGTTTATTATATTAGTGTGTGAGTTGTGACTGTGTGTGTATACATACATTAGAATAATTTAGTATATGAAATGTTAAGAGTTGCTGGAAGAAGGAAGGAAGTGGTCAAAATTTGAAATATAATAGGAAATTAGGAATAGGATATGAGTTTTAATGGGTTTTAGGGTGATGCAAAATCTGGTACCAAATCATTTATGAGGTATTAAATATTAATTGCCTATTAATATTTGTGTCTCCGTTTCAACTTTCAAGAGTTTCATGATTCCATTTTTAATAAAAAAAAATCAAGAGTTTGTTATTATAAAATCTTATTTGAAAAATGAAGAATCGGTCTATTAAGGTATGTCATAACCTCATTTTCTTTAATGGAAAAACATAAATATGTTTAATGAAGGTTATAAAATTTGAATGGGCCTTCAACCATGCCACCTTTCAAATTTTGTGATTAGTATACTATGGGCCTTCAACCATGCATATATTAAATAAATAAATACCCAATACAATTCTAGTCAACGAATAGGATATATTCCTGCATTACATAAAAACCACAGGCCCATTTTAAGTTGCACGACTCGGCCCATGTTTTTTCTCTTGCCCTTTTTCATTTAATTATTATTAGGCTGCGGCTATATGCAAGACTAATTCTACTTGTGCAATATCAAATTAAAATTTTTAATGTATAAATACTATAATACCCTTATTTATTAAAAAAATAAACAATTCCAAATATGCAAGACCAAAAATTCAAAAACACAAAAAACCCTATCACAATACCAGGGATAATTACACTTTTCGTCCCTATACATTACCACTTAAACGATTTTCGTCCCTAAACAAGATGAAGTTACAATTTTCGTCCCTAAACATGTCACTTTTATGCCGTTTCTGTCCCTCCGTCCATTTGTCCAGTTAGTTTGGACGGAAAATCGCATGTGCGCCGCACGTGACACACAAAAATACATCTGTAGTATTTATTTAACTCATTTGAAGAATGGTTTTGAGAAGCAGTATTGATTATAGAGCCGTTGAATTCTCGATATGTTGTCATTTGCTTTGTGTACGATGTGGTGTACAAACTACTATTGTGCTTGTCATCTTAGATTAGTAGGCTAATTTCTCGGGGACTCTCGACAGCGCCATGTTTGGCAAGCAACCAAACTTCTTATTTCTAGTTGTCCCATGAACATCCAACTTCATCAACTGAAACTGCTTTTCTTTAACTTTTATCTGCAGATAATCAAATGTTTGTCTTACCTTTTCTGAAAATATACATGTGTACGGCAGACCCACATTAATTTCAAAAAAAAAAAAAAAGAGAATTAAAAAAATGATGGATGATTAGATATAGAAAAATGATGTTGCAATGACAAGAATGTAACAAGAAACCAACAATACAATGAAATAAGGTGAGTGAGAATTGAGTTATTTCTTAATTTTCCCACCTTAATCTGCCATTGCTTTCACCTTGATCTTACTCACCAGTCACCACACTATATATAAACCTCACCTTCTCATTCATTCTCTTCGTCGATAAACCTCCAGTAATCGATTCGGTTTATTTTGTTTGTGCGTCATTCATTCTCTTCGTCGATAAACCTCCAGTAATCGATTCGGTTTATCGCACAAAATTAGAGATGAAACAGTTGGTACTTATCCTATTCCCCTTACTTTTCCTTTTCTTTGCCGCACTAACTTCCGGCCAGTCCACGGCGGCAGCCGCCCCTGCAACGCCAGGCCCAACCAACCTGACCGCCATCCTCGAGAAAGCCGGCCGATTCACCATATTCATCCGCCTATTGCAGAGCACCAAAGTGGCGGACCAGATCTACACACAGCTCAACAATTCAAACCAAGGCCTCACTGTTTTCGCCCCAACCGACGGCTCATTCTCCGGCCTGAAATCAGGCACACTCAATTCCTTCTTCGACGAGCAGAAAACCGAACTCATCCAATTCCACGTCCTCCCTTCCTTTTTCTCTCCGTCGCAGTTCGATACCGCGAGCAATCCCCTGCGCACGCAAGCCGGCGGCAGCGAAGAGCTTTTCCCCCTGAACGTAACCGCCTCGTCGACGGGGAATCAAGTGAACATCACAACTGGAGAGACGAACGCGACGGTGGCAAATCGCCTTTATAAAGAGGCGCTCCATTCCCCAATATCACAACTGTAGAGGTGCTTTTGTGTGTCACGTGCGGCGCACGTGCGATTTTCCGTCCAAACTAACTGGACAAATGGACGGAGGGACAGAAACGGCATAAAAGTGACATGTTTAGGGACGAAAATTGTAACTTCATCTTGTTTAGGGACGAAAATCGTTTAAGTGGTAATGTATAGGGACGAAAAGTGTAATTATCCCCACAATACCACAAAACCACAAGACCAACTCTCATCTTCTCCATCTTCCAAAACCCACAAGACCTTTCTCCTTCCTTCTCCGTTAACCCACAAAACCTAGAAATTCAAAATCATCAAAACTCAACAAATCATACAAAGATGGCAAGTATGGAGTCAGAAGACATCAAAATAGAAGGTTTTACGATGGAAGAACCCAAGAATGTATGCATTTATGGGTTTTTTAGCTAGAATATCGATTTTCCAAAAAAAATCCCGCGCAAACGAATTCGACATGTACAAGTCGAATTTTACAGGTAAAAATCGACATTTAGATGTCGATTTTGAGGTATAAAATTCGACATTTGAATTTGTGCTATAAATTCGACATGTCAATGTCGATTTTTACCTATGAAATTCGACGCTTAAGTGTCGATTTGTAGCATAGTTTTTCGACACCTTGGCGTCGATTTTTGTTTTTTTCTCATTATTTGTATTTGGTCTTACATGAGAAAAAAAAGCCAATTTAATTTATGGGCATACTTGTCATTCCATCTTAATAAAATATAATCTTTTGGAATCTTTCTTTAATTTAGTCTTGCACAAGTGAAATGAGTATTGCATATAGCCGCAGCCTTATTATTATCTTTAGTTCAAAAATTTGCTATATTTTTGTTTAATTTGAATCACAGGCACTTGGTGTTCATTTAATTACTATATATCTCCCGATCCATATATAATTGCCATGCATTCTGGTGCATTTCTTTGAGTGGCTTCAAACCAATTACGTACTTAATTAATTACCACAACAGTTGATTGATGCATAAGCATTTCCTTTTAGCATGATTAGATATGATTTTTACCCCTTTTTTTTTTTGCTTACAATTAGTTGTCCATACATCGTTTAGTAATTGTATGTTAATTACTAATTTGCAAAGCGTGTAGTCGTCGTGGATCGTGAATATATTTCTGCAAAAGCTAGCTTTGTATGAACTTTGAAGTTTTGAAGCAGCTGGTAGTCATCATTAAATTAAATTCCGACAATGGAAGCTAAGGTAGGAGTTGTAGTAATTATATATATCCGATGTATCATGTATGTATGTATTTATGTATGATGAAACATGTCCACATCACCACCAGCATATACAATAATATTAACTACACCGATAATTGTTTGGTATGTGATATGCCTAATTGGGCCAACCCAATGGGCCTACAATTTCTTTACCTACTGGGCTACGAGTCCAATATCGAAGACTAATATCACCGAGGCCCAAACACCTTCAAGTAAGGCTTGGGCCCAACAAAGCAAACCCAACCCAATAAACGACATATAAATAGAGGTTTTCCTCATTTTATTAAGGTACGTCCTATTAACTGAGCAATACAAAAACGCGTATTCTCTGGACTATTTCTATGATCAGCACGTCTGACTTGAGCGTCGGAGGGGTTTCCGCCGGATCAACCCCCGGCTTAGTTCATGTGTTCTATGATCGCAGGTACCTCAGGATCATCAAGTTGTCAAGCTACTGATCTGCTTTGCTCTCCCAGTTCATTTTCTACACTACCCCAGGTGATCTAAGTAATTAGCATCATCATTTTGGCGCCATCTGTGGGAACGATGCAAACCAGATCACGTAGCCAACAAGATCCTCCTAAGGCGTCTGCTCGGAGAGAAAATGACACAGCTAACGACCTCCCACCTCGTTGAGGCTCTGGTTTGCCACCTCCTTCACATCCCATGGATCCGCCTCGCGAGGTTCAGGTGATCCCCCCTCGGGATCCACCACTCGGCCGATCCACCACTCCCTGCTCCTCGAATGGTTCAAATAACCGAGGATGCGCTTCAACGCATGATAGCAGAAGCTTCAACTCGCGCTGCCACAGAGGCCGTGACCCAATATATCGCCACGATGGGAGCAAATGCTCCCAACGCGATACCAGCACATGCTCCACATGTGGAGCCACCTATGGCACCACCGCCATCGACTCCCTGGGGGCTTATATCTGCCCCCAAAATATTTCGTTCGCCAAGGGTTATCGACTCCCTGGGGGCTTACATCGCCCCCAAAATATTTCGTTCGCCAAGGGTTATCGACTCCCTGGGGGCTTACATCTGCCCCCAAAATATTTCGCTCGTCAAGGGTTATCGACTCCCTAGGGGCTTACATCGCCCCCAAAATATTTCGTTCGCCAAGGGTTATCGACTCCCTGGGGGCTTACATCTGCTCCCAAAATATTTCGTTCGTCATAGCAGGAGCCAACGCTCCTCCTCGTGAGGCCCCACTGGGTCCTCAACATGATCAATTTCTACTTACTTCTCGAACGGTTCAGATAACCGAAAAAGACCTTCAGCGTATGATCACGGAAGATTCAACTCGTGCTGCCACTGAATCAGTGGCACCATATATCGCCAAGGTGGGGCATCTCACCCCAGTGATCGTGATCGCCTCATCCTAAATGGGGGGCTATCCCATCCTAAAGTTGGGCATCTCATCTCAAGGGTGGTACATCCACTGACCTTTCAACCCCAAGGGGTTTCACATCCCATCAAGTATTTCACGTCCCTACTTCAAAAACACAAAAAAGGGTCTGACGCGCACGCACGAACCAATGGCACAACCGTGCGCATCAACCTCAGACAATAGGTCTCGAGCGCCTCATCCTACAGTGGGCAGTTATCCCCATCCTAAGGTTGGGCATCACCCTTACCTTTCAACCTTAAGTGGGTTCACATCACATCTCAATAGACGAGTATAATCTCCCTACTCAAAAAATAGAACATCCCCAAGGGGGTGCACATCCCATCTCAAGGAACGAGGGTAATCTCCCTACTAAAAAAATAGAACATCCCCAAGGGGGCGCACATCACATATCAAGGAACGAGGATAATCTCCCTACTCAAAAAATAGAACATCCCCAAGGGGTGCACATCCCATCTCAAGGAACGAGGATAATCTCCCTACTCAAAAAATAGAACATCCCCAAGGGGGTGCACATCCGATCTCAAGGAACGAGGATAATCTCCCTACTCAAAAAATAGAACATCCCCAAGGGGGTGCACATCCGATCTCAAGGAACGAGGATAATCTCCCTACTCAAAAAATAGAACATCCCCAAGGGGGCGCACATCCGATCTCAAGGAACGAGGATAATCTCCCTACTCAAAAAATAGAACATCCCCAAGGGGGTGCACATTCCATCTCAAGGAACGAGGATAATATCCTATTCAAAAAATAAAACATTCCCAAGGAGGTGAATATCAACCAAATAAAAAAAAAAAAATAGAAGAAAAAAGAAGAGAATGAAAAAAGAGAAGAAGAAAGAAGAAGAAAAAAGAGAAGAAGAAAGAAGAAGAAAAAAGAAGGAGATAAAATAAAAAAATAAAAAATATATATATATATATATATATTTTAGCCAAGTCGCGCGCCCCCCGAGCCGGCCAAGCCGCCGCGCGCGCGCACCGAGAGAAAAAAAAAAAAACAAAAAAAAAAAAAAAAAAAAAAAAAGAAGGAGGCGCGCGTGGCAAACACGCGTGACGCGCGCGCGTGCACAGCACGCGCGCTTCAGCAAAAAAAAAAAAAAAAAAAAAAAAGAGAGAAAATTCGCGCGGGCACCGCACGCGCGCGTGGCCGACACGCGCCTGACGCGCGCGCGTGCACAGCACGCGCGAATCAGCAGTAAAAAAAAAAAAAAAAAAAAATTGGAGCGCGCGCAAGCACGCGCGCGCGCTTTCCAAGGAGCCCTTGGACTGCGTGCTCCCATCAAATCGCGCTCAACTTTCACCGTCCTCCACCAAATTGCGCGTAAATTTTGACTCGCTTCTCCAAATCGCACGAAAATTTCAACGCCGCTCCACCAAATTGAGCGAGCTCTTAATGCACCTACCAAATTGCGTTCGCTATCAAAAAAAAAAAAAAAAAAATTATTTCGCCACACCATGCCAACGATTAACGCAAGACTACAACACCGATCTACTCTCGACAAGATCCGGTACCCTTTTCAACGTGGCTCCCACATCCTCTCGAGAGTGGGGGGCTTGCGAGACAACTCCCACGAGGAGCCAACTCGCGCAGTAATACAACCCGCAGCGAGACAACTCCCACGAGGAGACAGCTCGCTCGGTCCTACAACCTCTTACAAGGAAACTCCCACGAGGAGCCAACTCCCTACGAAACCATAGCGAGTTAACTCCCACGAGGAGACTACTCGCTCTGTCCTATAACCCGTTGCGAGGCAACTCCCACGAGGAGCCAACTCCCTCGGGTCTCAACGCCATAGCGAGATAACTCCCACGAGGAGCAAACTCGCTCGGCCCTACACACTCGTTGCGAGACAACTCCCACGAGGAGCCAACTCGCTCGGAACTACAACCCGTAGCGAGACAACTCCCACGAGGAGATAACTCGCTCCGTCCTACAACCCGCAGCGAGACAACTCCTACGAGGAGCTAACCCCCTCTAGTCTCAAAACTACAGCGAGACAACTCCTACGAGGAGACCACTCGCTCCATCCTACGACCCGCAGCGAGGAAACTCCCACGAGGAGCCAACTCGCTCGGTCCTACGAACCCACAGCGAGATAACTCCTATGAGGAGACCACTCGCTCCATCCTACGATCCGCAGCGAGGAAACTCCCACGAGGAGCCAACTCGCTCGGTCCTACGAACCCACAGCGAGATAACTCCTACGAGGAGACCACTCGCTCCATCCTATGATCCGCAGCGAGATTACTCCCACGAGGAGCCAACTCGCTCGGTACTACAACCTACAGCGAGATAACTCCCACGAGGAGACAACTCGCTCGGTATCCCAACCCACAACGGGACAACTCCCACGAGGAGCTAACTCGCTCGATATTACAAATCCGTTGCAAGGCAACTCCCACGTGCAACCACCTCGCTCGATAATAAGACTCGCTGCGAAACAACTCCCACGAGGAGACAACTCGCTCAGAGCAACCTCAATCCACACGCGCCTAAATCGCGCATCATCAAATGCTCCTACAACTTCGCTCAAGACAACTCCCATGAGGAGACAACTCGCCCGAAATTCACCATATAATCGCAAGCTCAAGTTAGCACGATTACAATCCTAGAAGCACTTAGAGATATTATGAGAATCTATATAGCCTGGCCAGCTTGATTACTCAAATTTATCTACTTGTTTTCGATGGGTCATTCATTAAAACGTGGCCACGGTCCAAACATACTTAAGACCCACGAGGTCTAACAAGGGGCACGACCCCCATATAAAAAAAAAAAATCTTGAGAGCCTGATCCCCTCCTCAAGTACATCACGCAGAAAGCTATATGTAAACACATACAAGCAACGCGTCAAAACATTGAAAATGTCGAAAAATAACAACTCCCACGAGGAGAATACTAGCTCCGTGCTACTACATTATCGTGAGACAACTTCCACGAAGACGTAACTCGATCAACTCGATTACCCCAGAGACAACTCCCACGAGGAGATTACTTGATCCGTGCTACTTCATTATCGCGAGACAACTCCCACGAGGAGATAACTCGATCAACACTATTACCCCGCGACAAGATAGCTCCCACGAGGAGATAAATCGCTACTACATCGTCGCGGGACAAAACCGACGACTCGATTAATTTATATTGCGGCAACTTTGTCGCGCTATGCGCCAACGCGCATTCACACCCCTCCGACACACGCTCCAACGCGTTTTCGCATACCATTAGGCCATACGCCAATGATCGACTTCTCCAATTTTTACTCTCGACACGATTTGAGACCCATCACAACATGGCCCCCACATCGACTCGAGAGTGGGGGGCTTAATGATATGCCTAATTGGGCCAACCCAATGGGCCTACAATTTCTTTACCTACTGGGCTACGAGTCCAATATCGAAGACTAATATCACCGAGGCCCAAACACCTTCAAGTAAGGCTTGGGCCCAACAAAGCAAACCCAACCCAATAAACGACATATAAATAGAGGTTTTCCTCATTTTATTAAGGTACGTCCTATTAACTGAGCAATACAAAAACGCGTATTCTCTGGACTATTTCTATGATCAGCACGTCTGACTTGAGCGTCGGAGGGGTTTCCGCCGGATCAACCCCCGGCTTAGTTCATGTGTTCTATGATCGCAGGTACCTCAGGATCATCAAGTTGTCAAGCTACTGATCTGCTTTGCTCTCCCAGTTCATTTTCTACACTACCCCAGGTGATCTAAGTAATTAGCATCATCAGTATGAAATGATTGATCAACTCATGGGATGGTTGAGATATATAAATTAAGTTTCAGTTATTGGTAGTTGGTACATACAGAGGGATTATTAGGTATAGCAGCTACTCGATATCCTGCATATATATATATATCAGTATTTACTTTGTCTTTTGCACACCGGCCGGCCCCGAATCTCTCATCTCAGCTTCTTAATACTTACTACATAGTTAGTTAATATATATACATATATAAATATAATACACAGCCAACCAGCTACTACGTACACTTGTAGGAGTTTCACTAATTACCTAATAATAATAATATGCATGATGATGTATATATATTTGATCAGACTATGTTGAATGCAATTTTCATACTGATCCTCGGAGCACATGCACGTGCGGATTGAATTTTATAGATTGTATGCGCTGCTGCACAATGTAATATTAGTTTTGAACAACATATGTAACACATTGGTATGCATAAGTAAGACAATGTAATCAGTCAAGAAATAATTATATGTATACTTCAAACTAAAAAGACCCACCCGGCCAGTGTATATATTTGACGATGATATATCATGTAATTTTCTCTACTCTGAACCCTGTCGACCTTTGACGATATAAATCACAAGTACGTACGTAGCTAGGAATTAAAATAAAACTAATTAATCATCAAAATAAATTTTATAATTAATTTGAACAATAAGCAATATTATATTATTAATAAAAATTTGAGTTGATGAAGAAGGAAAAAGAAAAAAAAAATGAGTGTGGTCACAGGGTTAGAAGCTAAGGAGTGAATAGAGATAGTGACGGCCGAAGCCCATCAAAGGAACAGACCATGTGGCCACTCACGTGAACGTGATCCATCCATCCATCGCAAACAATATAATGTGGCTATCTAATATATATAATATCCATTATTATTTATCTCTGGAAACAATTTATTAATTAAGAATTAATTTTCACAATCACTTGATGAATATTTCTACATGCATGATGAGTTAATAATCGTTTCTTGCCAAATATTCTCACACAGGACCAGTCAATTGTCTGCTCCACAAAACCCACATGACTCTTACCCCTAATTATATATATTAATTAGCTAGCTTCCCCAGTCCAGATTATTAAACAAAAAACAAAAAAAGAGATTTGAAAAGAAAATGACAAATAAACAGAATATATATACATAGACCAACCTCACCAGTCCAAATTAATTAAAACCAAATAAGATCCAGTACAAAATAAATACAAATAAAGGAGATATTAATTCATACCTTTCATTCACTCAGACTCAGCTACTTGTTTTTATTTCATCACTCATTCTTCACTTAATTAGTACGTAGTACTCCATCTATATATACAGCAATAATACATTATATATATTAAGCCATTAAGGAATATTATATATATACACAAGTATTTTATTTTTGGGCTCCGATGCATTAATATATCCAACGTCGTCACTACTAAGAAGTACGTACTTGTTTAATTAAAGCTATCCATGATCTGTATCATTTGAGGCGCAACCACCCTCCTAACTGTGACTATTATTATTAGGCTGGAGCTGGACAACCAATATATATATATACATTATATAACCCACACAATTAACTAGCAGTAAAACTAATTCACATCCTAATCAAAAAATTAATTATATATATGCATCTTTGTCTTTGTCCAGCTCCACAAACTTTGTGGGCTCTTTCCTTTCTCCCTTCTATCGCTTTCTCGATTTACACCACCAAAAAACTGCCCCACTTTTATTATCCACGTCTTTTTTTTTTCTTTTACATATATATTAAAGTAACTCATGTAATTTTAAAAAATTATATATATAATGCACTACTATGAGTAGCTTATTACAAGATATATAGAAAACAACAATAGTTAATTCATCAATCAGTAAGCCAGGAATCTTGACGATGCTTAGTGGGGAAGCAAAGTAGGTGGCTATATATGAAATTTAATGAATTGAAATGTTGTTTGCAGATAAAATTTTCATTTCAAACATGAAAATTACAATTAATCCAAATGATTTGGTGAAATAAGTCGACTGATCATGCACAATTAATCTAAACATAATAACATACACTTATGAATATGTATCCTTAGTGGATAGTTGTTTGTATAGTAGATCTATGGTACGGTGCATTATCATTCGGCCGGGTATATAGCTTCTTATAGACCCACCCTAATTAATGAAAGAAATATTGTTTTAGTTTCATAAATTAACTTGTATGATTCATATCCAATATTTACAAAAATAATAAGAATAGGTAATAATAATATTGTTGATTTAATTAGTGCTTAATTGAAAGAAGATAGTGTTTAAGATAAATGTAAGGGAAACAAAAAATGCTAGGACGGGGGTAGCTGTCTTTAAAAAGAAAAAAGGTAATAGAGAATAATAAACAGCTTAAAAGAGTGGGAATAATGTATTTTGTAGATATGCATTTAGATTTTATATCGTCATAACAGAAATGTTGTGTAGAAATTGAAAACGGAAAAGATTTGATTTGATTTGATTTTTCCAAAAAATGGGTTTCTTATGTGTGAGGAAGGACCAACCCTCATTAGGAGAGTTGGTACCTATCCTTTATCAATAGGGTGAATGTCTAGGGTTCGAGTCTCCCCTCCCTACTTCCCCTTATAATGGACTTGAATTTACTAAAAAAAAAAAAAAAAAAAAATATATATTCGAAGAAGGAGTAGGGATCGACCCTCAAAAATATATATGAGATGAGAATGCGCGGTCAATGTGGTGTGGTGTATTTATGTGGGATTAATTTGCATAGGAAATATATATATATTCGTAACGCTAAAAAAAATAAAATGTATTGGGAAATACTTAAAAAGATATTAAGAAGAAGAAGAAAAAATAGTGATTGAATATGGGGAGTAATATATGGGGGAAATTAAAGAGAAGAAGAACATATATGTATGTACACTAGACAGAAATAAAGGGCGGAAACTTACAAACTCTGGTTCACTGTCTCATCACATTCTGATACCTCCTCCGCCCACCACCACCACCACCACCACCACCACTACTTCTTCTTCTTCGGCTGCTGCACTACAAACACTTGGATTTATACACACTACTAGCTAGATTTGCCGATTGAATATTATACTCCTTTTGTTTTCAAACAATTTTCCCATATACATACATACATAAATCATTCTTCCTCTTCCCCTTCCCCATTTTCGTAGCAATTTATCATTACCCTAATAATTAATTATATGATTTGAATCCATCTCCCCCCAATTCAGTCATCCAGTTTCAGTCCATATATGGCGTCGAGCAGCCTTTTCCGATCCAAGTCCTGCTCTCTCGGACTCCGCAACTGCAACTCAATGCCGCCGCCCCTCACTTTTTCACCTCACAGTCCCTCCTCTATTTACGAAGACGACGACGACGACGACGAGGACCAGGGGTATTTCGCCGACTTCAACAGCGACGACTCCGAAAATCCGGCTACGACGCCTTTCATAGCCCCCTGCCCTAATTCTCGTAATACTAAAATTAACCAGCCGCAGTTCTCCGTTCTGGCGGTTGTGGCGTCGGCGTTACGGAGGTCGCTGGTCACGTGCAGCGTTGAGGCTGATAACGTATTGTCCGATGTTGATATTGGATCGCCAACAGATGTACGCCACGTGTCCCACGTCACCTTCGACCGTTTTAATGGATTTTTGGGCTTGCCGGTCGAGTTTCAGCCTCAACTCCCTCCTAAACCCCCCAGCGCTAGGTTCATATCTCCAACCTTTTCTTTCTTTTTTTTTTTTTTTTTTTTTTCTTTTCGAATAAAATGAAATTCAATCTCTTATCTATTTTCATTCCCAAAATATGATACTGCCCCTTTATTTCTCCTTGAATGGAACTTGTGGACTGTACTGTAGCTCAATGTTAGAGATAAGGATGAGCAATAAATCACATTCACATGATTATACGGTCATATATAGCTGCTCAAATTTCAATTTCTCATAAGCTAATTTTTAGATTTTCGTTGATTTAGTAATCCTTATTGAACTTTTGAGCTGGATTCCTGTTGTTTCTCCGATTGTGGAAATTCGTTCGGGTATCTGTTTATGAACCCCAAAAGTTAGCTACATTTCTTCTTTCAGAAAATGAAAGATTTCCTGCTCTTTTAGTCGGGCTTAATTTAATTCTAGATATGCAATCATCTGAATCTGGTACGTCTATCTAACTTATAAATTGCTAAAATTGTTGCAACGATGATTTGAAACACGAATTTCTCACCCTTCCATATGAATGCATAAAACAGTTTTGACAGATTGGAAAAACAGATAGCCCATTAGTTTCTTACGGTGAAGAAATGCCCTATCATCTAATTAGTCGTAGTTGTTGAAATTAATATTTTATGTATGTAACAGTATTCTCTGTTATGATTTAAGATGACATTGCCCTTATGTGTGCTATTTTGTTGGATCCGATCAGTGCTAGCGTTTTTGGAGTTTCTGCACAATCGATGCAGTGTTCGTACGACCACAGGGGAAACAGTGTGCCAACTATTCTTCTTAGGATGCAAAACCGTCTGTATTCTGGAGGCGGCCTTCAAGTAAGCCACCTTTCGTTATTTTTTTTATTTATTATATTCTTATTTGTTTGGATATCTTCATTTTCTTTACTACACACTATAAGCATGTGATGATTTTGTTTTTCGTGTGTCGGTTGAAGGCAGAAGGAATTTTCAGGATCAATGCTGAGAACAGTCAAGAGGAAAATGTGAGGAAGCAGCTGAATAAAGGAATTGTGCCACATGGAATTGATGTCCACTGTTTATCGGGGTTGATTAAGGTGCATGAAGTTGACATTGCTTATTTTGATTGAATTTCTTCAAAACAATAGTTGTTTGTTTGTGTACTAAATAAAAAAAAAATGTGAATGCAGGCATGGTTCAGAGAACTTCCATCACGGGTCCTTGATTGTTTGAGGCCAGAAGATGTGATGCATTGCAACACAGAAGAAGAGTGCACGGTGCTTGTAAAGTTGCTACCTCCAACGGAAGGGGCATTACTTGACTGGGCAATCAATTTAATGGCAGATGTAGTTCACCACCAACACCACAACAAGATGAATGCCAGGAACATTGCTATGGTCTTTGCACCCAACATGACTCAGGTACCTCATTAATTCTTCTTCTTCTTCTTCTTGTTTCTATTTTAACTGATTATTATCATTAAAACATGCATGCATTATAGTTTTTACGTTACTAAATTATATGTATATGTAGATGGCAGATCCATTGACGGCATTGATCCACGCTGTCCAAGTGATGAACTTTCTTAAGACGCTGATAATGAAAACCCTCCGAGAAAGACAAGAATCGCCTGCTAATGAATGCAATATTGATAACTCACAGCCAATGAATACGACAAGCACTGCTCAAGTGGTTCTAAATGAAGAATGTTCTTGTAAGGAAGGTGGTTTAGAGCAAGAAAAGAATGAGGAAAAGTCTAATTGGTTGAGCACTAATAATAATAATAATAATGGAGAGAAATACGGAGGAGGAGGAGGAAGTATTAGTAGTATATCTTCGTCATGTTCGCCTGTGAAGCGCAAAAGAAGAACATTAGGGCATAGTTTCAAAGACGAATATGAGAAGATGGAAGCAGAGGGAATACTGAACCGCTTAAGTCTGCGTAAAGGAATGCAAAAGCTACGAAGGCATCCTGTCTTCCAGCTCAGAAAGATAACTGTCAAGAAGAGTGGTGGCGGAGCTGTGTAAATTGCTAGGAAGGGAGTACTGAGTAGACAAGATGACAGGTTACTACTACACAAGTAAATGCAACTACCTTTGAGAAATCAATATTATTATTGTCTTTTTTATTAGGATAATAAGTGTTTGTTAATAATAAGGTGGTTAGATGATTAATCATGTACTGGAAGTGGTACTAGTACTAATTGGGGTTGGTTGTAGGTCGATGAACCTAACTCAGAGTGGTTAAGATTCAGCACATGAACTATAGTTTCATTTGGATTAAATGTTTCCTTAATTCTTTCGTTCGTGGGCTAGCAAATATGAAGATCCTTGTCTGAACTCAGCCCATCTGCCAAATTGGCTCCCACATGATCATTGTCCAATCCAACCTTTGTTATTAAAAAAAAATATTCAATATTTAGTAAAAATATATAGTTAAGTTAGGTCAGGTGTATATATTATTTCCGTGTTAAAATCATGGTGACATGTGAGTACTGATGGTTGAGTGGAACTGCTGTCTTCAATGGCAATAATTGAGTTTTTATTTTTACTGTAGCAATCATCGATTTATTTGTGTCGGTATTTGTTGAGTAGAGCATCAACACTACTCCTCTCTAAAACCCCCTTCCAAAATGTGGGACCCACATGTTGTGAATTATTTATTTTTGTCTATTTCTATAAATATATAAATTGTATTTACATGTAACATAAATATGAATATTATAAATGAGTCCGAATAAATTTGTTGGAAGACCTCTCCAAGTATAGGCAAAACATAAATATAGATTTAATAGAAAAGAAATCAAATATTATTTATTTACAATTTTTTAGTGTAATGGATATATAGAAATCAATAGATGTAATACATATTTTTTATTTATAAAATAATGGCAATAATAAAAAAATAATATAAAAAAGAAACCAAGTAAGAGTTGCAAAATAATGGCAATAAATCACATGGTCCCACATTGCATTGTTAAGTGACAAATCTCAAATTTTAGAGAGGCATAAAGAGCCTATTAATGTTCCATTAATTAGAGCACCCTTCATTCTCCAAGCCACTAAATTCTGACACTAAAAACACGTTTAATTTGGAGAGCCAAGACCACTTGGATGCTCTTATCTATGTATATAGATGTTGTCTCGTAATGACAATGCGTGACGTTTCCCGATACCATCCACGCACAGATGACTAGTTTTTTTTGTGTCGTATGAAATTAATTGACTTTTATTACTATTTTATTATTGTGCTACTGTGCTGTGGGGTTCTCTTGGAACGTACTTTCATTTAGTCACGTGCAACACATTTTCAAAAAATATATATATATATTAAAGGTAAATTAAAGGATATAAGCTGGGTGGTAGGTTGCCCCACCTTCCCACAACAATACAATATATATTAATCACCTCCACCTTCCTCTATTAATTTTCTCGTCTCGTCACTCTCTACTTTAATTTTACGTACTACTTATGAGTTATGTCCACACAATTTTATTATCAACCACCCGAACACCTAAATTAAATAATGCTCCTCTTATATTTGATCCTAGTTCAAATTCTGTTATAATCTATTACAACTATATGGTCAAATTACAACTATATGGTCAAATTATGAAAACTCCCTCGTGTTTGGCGAGTTACAATCACCCTTCTCAACTATAAATCTTCTTACACGTTCACCCTTTCGGTTCCAAATTTAGTGGAATCTTCGAGATTACATGGCATATTATATTTTATCACATAATTCGAACTCCACATTTTGAAACAAGATGATCATAATATGTATTTTTTGGCTTGTATATAGCAGATTGTGGTGCATCAAAAACTCTATTTTTACACAAACGAGTACAAACTAGAACACATTCCACAAAATCTAGATGATTATATTGAATTTGACATCATAAGCGTGAGGGTATAATAAAAAAAACATAGTCAAGAGGTAAATGTAATTATCCAAAATAAGAAGGACTTTTTCATAAATTGACCAAACATGAGTGTAATTTACCCTTATCGATATTATTTCTACCTTTGTAATAAGACAATGCATGGTTTACTGAATTTAACACACAACTCACAAGTGTTTATTGTAATAGGTGGTCAAAAATTAACCCTCCATATAATTTAATTGTATTGGCAAAAAAATATCCTCTAATTCAAAAAAATGCAAAATAATGGATATTGCGCTAAGATATTATATTTGAAAGTCAACTTGTCGTTTCAAATGTTTATAAACTAAATAATTATGTTTTACAATTTTGAAAACATGCTTACTAGGGCATCTCCGACCGGACGCCATAACGTCATTTTTTCATCTAATTTCTGTGTTTTTAGCCTTTCATCCGAAATTCCTATAGCACCATTACACCTAAAATTATAGGGATTTGGTTTTAGCCTCCCACCGTGGTCAACCCTATATCACCAAATACTCAAATCCTATTTTTCCACCCAATTTTTTGGTGAATGAATTTTCATCTCCCACCGGTCCACCATTTTCCTATTTTTTCCACCAAATCCTCTTTTCCCTACCAAATATAAAGGTGAAAATATGATTTGCCGTAATTACCACCATTTTATTAAGTACCATATAAAATGACGATTTTAACTAATTGCACCCGATTACCAACTTATTAGCATATTTATCGTAAATGCATTGGTATTAATTATTAAATTAGTTTTTAAAATATAAATACATTTCTTATTATTAACAAAATATTAATTCTAATAATATAATATGCTTATTTTTACTTAATTTGTATATTTTGTTGGTATCAATGTTTATTAGTTCATTTATTTACTTAACTAATACGCTAATTGCTATTAATAAAATATAATAAGCAACAATAGAATAATTGACGAAACACACTTTAATTGATGAAATACATGACGAGACATTTAAATTGAAAACGTAATTTTTAAAATTGATAACATAATTTTTAAATTATAGTTAAACAAAATTTATTACTAAACATTGGATCTATAATTAATATTTATGAAATAAAATATAATAAAATTACGATCAACATTAGATTTATAATTTTGGGGCATATATGCTGAGCTTCCATGGGAGACCAAACCAAATCCCATTTACTATAAGTGGTGAAATGGTGAAATATTATTATTTTAATATTTGGTCTAAGTTCTGGTGAAACCCATTGGAGACCAAAAACACTATTTTTCCACCAAAAATGGTGGAAGGGTAAAATGGTGTACTACCCATGAGAGATTAATCCATTTTTTCACCACAAAAAATAGGATTTAGTGAAAAAATGGTGAAACCAATAAGAGATGCTCTTATAAAACTAAAAACTAGCTAGCTTTCTGTTCATTGCCATTAAAAATAAAAGCCCTACTCTACTTATCACTTATTTACTAGATGGGCCCCCGCCAGGAAAAGTCATAGAAATAATTATTTGAAATTGTTTTTCTCCATATATAAATTATAAAAAGCTCACTCATTAATTATTCCCTCTGTATTTATAGGCAAGCACAGATCGAACATATATATATATATATATATATATATATATATATATATATATATATATATAAAGTGCTTTTATCAATCGATCGAAGTGGAAACATATATAGATATGGATGAATTAATCCTCAGCTCGTGTTCAAAGTCTAGTTCATCTTATTCGGTAAATATGATGTGTTCCAATGATGAACGACAACCACCGACAATTAGTGTCCTCCAAAAAAAGCTCAAACACTTGCTCCAAACTCAGACAGATTTCTGGTCCTACGCCATTTTCTGGCAATCATGTTCTTCTTCTACTTCCAATGTTCTTAACTGGGGCGACGGCTATTTTCAAGGCACCGCCAATTATAGTAATGAAACAACAAAGAAACTAGCAGTTGATGAACATGGTGAGGTGTCAGATGCTGAGTGGTTCTATTTGATGTCACAGATGGCTGATGAGTGTATCTCCGTCGTTGATGCAGGTGGTGGTGTTGTGGGTAAGGCCTTCAACTCTGGATCTCTAGTCTGGTTGACCGGTGGGAATCAGCTAAAGTTGTATAACTGTGAACGTGCTAAACAAGCGGAGGCACACGGTATGCAAACCATGGTCTGTATCCCTACTGCTACTCCCCGTGGTGTTGTTGAGTTGGCTTCTCATCTTATTATTCATGAAAACTGGACTTTGCTCCAACAAGTCCAACATACTTTTCCTGCTTTTGCTTTTCAACCCGAAATTATTATGGATTCAGATTCCGATTGCCCGACCACCACCACCGATAATAATACTAATACTAATATTAATAAAAAGAGAGCGCCTATGGCTAGTAGTAGTACTGCAGCTACTACGGGTATAATTAGCGGCGGCAAGAAGAGAGGAAGAAAGCCGGCAGGACCTCGGGGCCCGGACGCGCTGCCGACAATGAACCACGTTGAGGCGGAGAGGCAGAGGAGGGAGAAGCTGAACCACCGATTCTACGCACTCAGATCTGTGGTACCCAACGTTTCTAGGATGGACAAGGCTTCACTTCTATCCGACGCCGTATCCTACATAAAGGAGCTCAAATCAAGACTCGACGACCTCCAAACCAACAACGTCAACAAACTATTATCATCATCATCATCAGTTGTCAAGACAGAAACTGATGATGATGATGAGCCAATTATTAGTTCATCAAGCTTGGTGGAAGTGAAGATGGTAGGTGTAGATGGGATGATTAGGGTTCAGTCGGAGAAGAGCAACTACCCGTCGGCGCGTTTGATGGACGCGATACGTGATCTGAAACTAGAAATACAACACGCGAGCATGTCTTGCGTCAACAATATAATGATTCAGGATGTTGTCGTTACTCTTCCTTCAGATGGTCCATTGACTTCCGAGAATGCATTGAGAACTGCTCTTCTTCATAGATTATAATTATTTAATTAATTAATGGATATATATATATCATCACGTACGTACGTACGTACACAAATATTAATATGTATTATTATGCATGATGATCGATCGATCAGTTATATTATTATCCATCCATTATCGTCTGTACTGTACGTTTTAAATTATATATTAGTTTCTAGCTAGCTAGTTTCATGAATCGGCCTTTAATTTGCAGCTGATGAATAAATTGTTCAATTTCCACATGATGCATGATGCATGAATTACTTTCTTCTTCTGATGAATATATATATATATATTTCCTATATAGCTAGCAGTACTTGAAGATGGGGATCGATGAATAATGCAAAATATCATAGCTAGCTGCTCAGGTGTGTGTGTGTGTGTGTGTGTGTGTGTGTGTGTGTGTGTGTGTGTGGATCAAAATATATATGATACCCTTTTTAATTTTTCCTTATAGGTAGAGGTAGGTCGTTTTCATGACTTGGAATATTAGTATATCCTGAATGCATGTTTTTCTTTTAATTTGCTGCCTCAATTATATAATATATATTCATACATACATACATACATCATGAATAAAACGGCTTTTCATTTTTCTAGACTAGTTTAATTAATTGCAGGTGTACGTTAACTGATATATGGATTCTCATATTTTGACTAAACAATTACCAGTCTTATGTCAAAAATATATATATATATATTATGCATGTGATCCATGGATTCCCCCTTGCTGACAATAACTAGTTAAAAACTTACGAATTCTAATTAATTATTGTAATTAGTACTCTCCATTTATTGGCAGGAATTATTGAGTGGTTCACAATAACTAGTTACAAACTTTTGTGGTTATCCAGACAAATGTGGGGTACGTACGTTAATGGGAAAGCGTATTTATCCAAGTGGCCGGGGAATCTTTGACCTTGTTCATGATTATTAATATATGTTATTACATCAAACAGTTCTCTTAATTCTGCCATAATATAATTTGGCATGCATGTGTTTCATGTGATGATGACAAAAAATAATTATCTACTCTTTTCTTGTGTGATTTTTCTTGAGTTCAATCGTATATAATAAAATTTCTTAATATGTAGTATTTAAAAATGTTAAAAGAACAAAATTAAATAGTATGAAATAAACAAAAAAATTAAAGTGAGGGAGTATATTAATAATCATGGGGTAGGTAGGTAGGGCTTGTTCGACTCTACACCGGGTGACCGAGTCTTGTGCTGCCACTGTGTCATTTTTTATATTTTTCTAGAACTCCTACAAGTTAACCCAACGAGGAAATATATTATAAAATACAAAAAAATGACACGTACCAGCGGAAGAGCCACCCGGTATTTATCACCGTCGCGTCTCTAGGTAGTGCATGTGATGGAATATTAATGATGATGTTGTTTTCCATGAGACCCCACCTCTATCTTGCGAGACACACTGCACCCATACCTTATTATATACTATTATATAATCGGCTGAGAATTATTGAGGGAGGCCGGCCTGGCTGGGATGTTGTATGTATAGAGCATTGTTGGGCCAGCCCAAACTGTCATGCAAACAACAAATTAAAGCCCCATTAATTAATTACACACTCTCACTACTTCTAACATTTTCTCCTCATCTATGTATAATAATGTACTGCCCTAATCGTACTTAATTCAATGACTGAGCTCGCTAGCTACTACATTTGTGTGCTGTGTCTACAAATTATAAAGGCCAATACTACATGATCAACAACTTGCTAATTTTCCCCTAAAACACCACCACTGGTGTCCTCTTATTTGATCGATTAGTTTTGGTAACAAATCAAATTATTATTACACATCATAATTCATATATATAGAACAGAACAGAACATCGAAAGAGCAGCGATCACCGGACTTGAAAGAAAAAGAAAATCATTAATTAATGGGTAATATCTGCCACAAAAAGGCCATCCGTATATTCGAATGAAAGTAAATTCCAACAGAGCAAAATATAATTGTCGTCGTCATCATCATAAGCAAGCGCAACATTACTACGCACTCATATCTCTCTCTCTCTCTCTATCCGTCTGTCTGTGTTTGAGAAATTAGAATTAAAACATTATAATTAAGATGAAAAACAAATTGCAAGTGGCCGGAATGAAACAACATGACAGGCGCGGATGGGATGATCAATACAAAATCCAGTGCTCTCCGTCAAGTTTGACTTGGAAACCATTGAGTCGAGCAAAAGAATGTACAGCGTAACGAACACCTTCCCAGGCATAGTCATGACCGAAAAGAACACCACCTGGCCTCAATATCTTGTAGGCGTTGTTGATGTCAACCCAGGCTGAGTGAAAATCATGTGCAGCGTCAACCTCCACAAGATCACCGTACACCCCCCAATCACAGAGTCCATTCAGCGCCGTCGATGCAGAGAATGGAAGAAACAAGATTGAATCAGTGGCGTTTGCCTTGACAACGTTCTGCATGAATTGGAACATGAGCAAACTGTCACCGTTAACCATTTTAAGGCTCTTCTCCTCGTCGTAGTAGCCGGGCCAACCACGGAAGTCGTCGATGCAGATAATCTGAGTGTCGAGACCGAGTTTCCGAGTCAAACCGACCATGTGTGTGGCAGATGCACCGAGAAAAGTGCCGACTTCGACGATGACCCTGGGCCTGACCTGATTGATGAGGTGCTCGAAAACGGGGGCGTTGGATCCCCAGCCTTTGGCCCAATCCTCCCAGAGGAGGGAGGTGATGTGGGGAGGAGGGAAACCTTGAAAAGGGGAAGTGCCGTTGAAGACACGGTCAAGGACTGTTTGGCGGACGTGGTTTGAGGGGACTGGATGTTTGCACTTATTAGGGAATTTGTTGTGTTCGGATAAATCGCTTACATCCGGTGGAATCTGGGTCTGGGTCTGGGTCTGGGTCTGGGTCTGTGAGTGGGTTATGTAACCCAGGATGAATGATAGGATTATCAGCACCAAATAACCCTTTGGTGTACTCAATGTCTTGTATGCCGCCATTGCCGTAAATCTTTTCTGATTGTGCTGCCGTCCCCCGGGCCGGAGGTGAGAGTGCTCTTGATCTTCCGTGTTCATCGATAATTTTTTCTTTTTTTCTTTTTTTCTTCTTAGATTAGAGAGAGAGAGAGGAGGATTGGGGGGGGGGGGTTAATGCCAAAACTGTGTTGAATTTGAACCGCTAAGTTGTTGCGTGTGTATTGGATCTGGATCCAACCCAACTCTCAAATACTATTCCAAGTCTTTGTTTTTTTTTTTTATTAATTTTATTATTAATAATACTATAATCAACTTAACAATTTTAAATATTTCCTACTATCTATGGTTGCCACTGGCCCACTACCCTAGATGTGGGACAGGCTGTTATAATTTATATCAATTGACAAATTATTTGTAATTCAAATATTATGTAATTATAACTGTTTGATGATTGGTCCATACACATCCCGGATCGATTGTATTTGTGGTGGATCTTAATTAAAAAAATATATGTATATGATATGCCTAATTGGCCCAATCCATTGGGCCTACAAATTATTTACCTATTGGGCCACGAGTCCAATATCGAAGACCACTATCACCGAGGCCCAATCACCTTCAAGTAAGGTTTGAGCCCGACAATCTGAACTAAGCTATAAATAAATGTTTGAACTCATTCCTTAAGGTACGTCCTATTAATTGAGGAATACTACAACTGTATTCTCTGAACTATTTTCACTATCCACACGCGCCAGACGCGCGCGCGTGCACCGCACACGCACCAGCAGAAAAAAAAAAAAAGGGGGACGGGAGGCGCGCGTGCACAGCACGCGCGCGTGGCGAACACGCGCGCCAGACGGCAGCAAAAAAAAAAGAAAAAAAAGGCGCGCGCCTCCCAAGGCAACCTTGGAGCGCGCGCTCCCATTTAATAGGGCACAACTTTTACTACTCTCCACCAAATTGAGCGTAGATTTCACCTCGCTTCACCAAATCGCGCGAGAATTTCAACGCGCTCCACCGAATTGCGCGAGCTCTCTCCCGCGCGCCTCACCATAACGCGCACGCTATCACACGGATAAATAAAAATTATTATTTCTCCACACCACGCCAGCAATTAACGGTACACCACAACACCGATCTACACTCGACACGATCTAGTCTCATTTTCGACTAGGCTCCCACATCGAATCGAGAGTGGGGGGCTTGCGAGACAACCCGTTGCGAGGCAACTCCCACGAGGAGCCAACTCGCTCGGTACTACGAACCCGCAGCGAGACAACTCCCACGAGGAGCCAACTCGCTCGGTACTACGAACCCTCAGCGAGATAACTCCCACGAGGAGCCAACTCGTTCGACACTACAAATCCGTTGCAAGACAACTCGCTCAGAGCAACCTCAATCCGCACGATCCTCAGTCGCGCGTCATCTAATGCTCCAATAATTTCGCTACAATACAACTCGCCCGAAATTCACTATATAATCGCAAGCTCAAGTTAGCACGATTACAACCCTAGAAACACTTAGAGATATTATGAGAATCTATATAGCCTGGCCAGCTTGATTACTCAAAATTTATCTACTTGTTTTCGATGGGTCCTTCATTAAAACGTGGCCACGGTCCAAAAATACTTACGACCCACGAGGTCTAACAAGGGGCACGATCTCAATAAAAAAAAAATCTTGAGAGTCTGATCCCCTACTCAAGTACATCACGCACAAGGCTATATGTAAACACATACAAGCAATGCGTCAAAACATTGACAATGTCGATAAATAACAACTCCCACGAGGAGAATACTAGCTCCGTGCCACTACATTATCGCGAGACAACTCCCACGAGGAGATAACTCGATCAACTCTATTACCCCACAACGAGACAACTCCCACGAGGAGATAACTTGATCCGCACTACCACATCGTCGTGGGACAACACCGACGACTCAAGTAACTTACATCGCGACAACTTAGTCGCGCTACGCGCCAACGCGCCTTCACACCCCTCCGACACACGCTCCAACGCTTTTTCGCACACCATCGACTACTACAAGTTTTACTCTCGACACGATATGTCACCCATTTCAACATGGCCCCCACATCGACTCGAGAGTGGGGAGCTTAATGATATGCCTAATTGGCCCAACCCAATGGGCCTACAAATTATTTACCTACTGGGCCACGAGCCCAATATCGAAGACCACTATCACCGAGGCCCAATCACCTTCAAGTAAGGTTTGAGCCCGACAATCTGAACTAAGCTATAAATAAATGTTTGAACTCATTCCTTAAGGTACGTCCTATTAATTGAGCAATACTACAACTGTATTCTCTGGACTATTTTCACTATCCACACGTCTGACCTTGGAGCGTCGGAGGGGGGTTCCGGCGGAATCAACCCCGACTTAGTTCATGTGTGCTCATTTTGCAGGGACCTCAGGATCATCAAGTTGTCAAGCTACTGATCTGCTTTGCTCTCTCAGTTGGTTTTCTACACCCTAGGTGAGCTACATATTAGCATCATCAGTATATAATAAATAAATGTAATATTCTTTTTATATCTGAATCAGAGATAAATGGTAAAAATAATAATAATAATAATGAGAATATATATATATATATATAT